ATATAGTTCAAATTCAATAAAAATCGACAAAAATACAGTTTCTAGCTAAAATTTGATGGTTTCGTTGCACTTTCCGAGCCCGTAGGGTATCTGAGTGGCTTAAAAGTACAAGAAAACACTTCAAAAGTGACGTTTCTGAAGAATTTTAACAGTTTTCTTGTATCTACGAACGCCAGAATGCATAAAATTGACCTAAACGTCTCCTTTTCCTATTCTGAGTCTATTCTGCATGCTTTAAGTGTGTTTGGTGGCTCAGAACCATCAAAAAACGTTGAAATATAGTTCAAATTCAATAAAAATCGACAAAAATACAGTTTCTAGCTAAAATTTGATGGTTTCGTTGCACTTTCCGAGCCCGTAGGGTATCTGAGTGGCTTAAAAGTACAAGAAAACACTTCAAGAGTGACGTTTCTGAAGAATTTTAACAGTTTTCTTGTATCTACGAACGCCAGAATGCATAAAATTGACCTAAACGTCTCCTTTTCCTATTCTGAGTCGATTCTGCATGCCCTAAGTGTGTTTGGTGGCTCAGAACCATCAAAAAACGTTGAAATATAGTTCAAATTCAATAAAAATCGACAAAAATACAGTTTCTAGCTAAAATTTGATGGTTTCGTTGCACTTTCCGAGCCCGTAGGGTATCTGAGTGGCTTAAAAGTACAAGAAAACACTTCAAAAGTGACGTTTCTGAAGAATTTTAACAGTTTTCTTGTATCTACGAACGCCAGTATGCATAAAATTGACCTAAACATCTCCTTTTCCTATTCTGAGTCGATTCTGCATGCTTTAAGTGTGTTTGGTGGCTCAGAACCATGAAAAAACGTTGAAATATAGTTCAAATTCAATAAAAATCGACAAAAATACAGTTTCTAACTAAAATTTGATGGTTTCGTTGCACTTTCCGAGCCCGTAGGGTATCTGAGTGGCTTAAAAGTACAAGAAAACACTTCAAAAGTGACGTTTCTGAAGAATTTTAACAGTTTTCTTGTATCTACGAACGCCAGAATGCATAAAATTGACCTAAATGTCTCCTTTTCCTATTCTGAGTGGATTCTGCATGCTTTAAGTGTGTTTGGTGGCTCAGAACCATCAAAAAACGTTGAAATATAGTTGAAATTCAATAAAAATCGACAAAAATACAATTTCTAGCTAAAATTTGATGGTTTCGTTGCACTTTCCGAGCCCGTAGGCTATCTGAGTGGCTTAAAAGTACAAGAAAACACTTCAAAAGTGACGTTTCTGAAGAATTTTAACAGTTTTCTTGTATCTACGAACGCCAGAATGCATAAAATTGACCTAAACGTCTCCTTTTCCTATTCTGAGTCGATTCTGCATGCTTTAAGTGTGTTTGGTGGCTCAGAACCATCAAAAAACGTTGAAATATAGTTCAAATTCAATAAAAATCGACAAAAATACAGTTTCTAGCTAAAATTTGATGGTTTCGTTGCACTTTCCGAGCCCGTAGGGTATCTGAGTGGCTTAAAAGTACAAGAAAACACTTCAAAAGTGACGTTTCTGAAGAATTTTAACAGTTTTCTTGTATCTACGAACGCCAGAATGCATAAAATTGACCTAAACGTCTCCTTTTCCTATTCTGAGTCGATTCTGCATGCTTTAAGTGTGTTTGGTGGCTCAGAACCATCAAAAGACGTTGAAATATAGTTCAAATTCAATAAAAATCGACAAAAATACAGTTTCTAGCTAAAATTTGATGGTTTCGTTGCACTTTCCGAGCCCGTAGGGTATCTGAGTGGCTTAAAAGTACAAGAAAACACTTCAAAAGTGACGTTTCTGAAGAATTTTAACAGTTTGCTTGTATCTACGAACGCCAGAATGCATGAAATTGACCTAAACGTCTCCTTTTCCTATTCTGAGTGGATTCTGCATGCTTTAAGTGTGTTTGGTGGCTCAGAACCATCAAAAAACGTTGAAATATAGTTGAAATTCAATAAAAATCGACAAAAATACAGTTTCTAGCTAAAATTTGATGGTTTCGTTGCACTTTCCGAGCCCGTAGGGTATCTGAGTGGCTTAAAAGTACAAGAAAACACTTCAAAAGTGACGTTTCTGAAGAATTTTAACAGTTTTCTTGTATCTACGAACGCCAGAATGCATAAAATTGACCTAAACTTCTCCTTTTCCTATTCTGAGTCGATTCTGCATGCTTTAAGTGTGTTTGGTGGCTCAGAAGCATCAAAAAACGTTGAAATATAGTTCAAATTCAATAAAAATCGACAAAAATACAGTTTCTAGCTAAAATTTGATGGTTTCGTTGCACTTTCCGAGCCCGTAGGGTATCTGAGTGGCTTAAAAGTACAAGAAAACACTTCAAAAGTGACGTTTCTGAAGAATTTTAACAGTTTTCTTGTATCTACGAACGCCAGAATGCTTAAAATTGACCTAAACGTCTCCTTTTCCTATTCTGAGTCGATTCTGCATGCTTTAAGTGTGTTTGGTGGCTCAGAACCATCAAAAAACGTTGAAATATAGTTCAAATTCAATAAAAATCGACAAAAGTACAGTTTCTAGCTAAAATTTGATGATTTCGTTGCACTTTCCGAGCCCGTAGAGTATCTGAGTGGCTTAAAAGTACAAGAAAACACTTCAAAAGTGACGTTTCTGAAGAATTTTAACAGTTTTCTTGTATCTACGAACGCCAGAATGCATAAAATTGACCTAAACGTCTCCTTTTCCTATTCTGAGTCGATTCTGCATGCTTTAAGTGTGTTTGGTGGCTCAGAACCATCAAAAAACGTTGAAATATAGTTCAAATTCAATAAAAATCGACAAAAATACAGTTTCTAGCTAAAATTTGATGGTTTCGTTGCACTTTCCGAGCCCGTAGGGTATCTGAGTGGCTTAAAAGTACAAGAAAACACTTCAAAAGTGACGTTTCTGAAGAATTTTAACAGTTTTCTTGTATCTACGAACGCCAGAATGCATAAAATTGACCTAAACGTCTCCTTTTCCTATTCTTAGTCGATTCTGCATGCTTTAAGTGTGTTTGGTGGCTCAGAACCATCAAAAAACGTTGAAATATAGTTCAAATTCAATAAAAATCGACAAAAATACAGTTTCTAGCTAAAATTTGATGGTTTCGTTGCACTTTCCGAGCTCGTAGGGTATCTGAGTGGCTTAAAAGTACAAGGAAACACTTCAAAAGTGACGTTTCTGAAGAATTTTAACAGTTTTCTTGTATCTACGAACGCCAGAATGCATAAAATTGACCTAAACGTCTCCTTTTCCTATTCTGAGTCGATTCTGCATGCTTTAAGTGTGTTTGGTGGCTCAGAACCATCAAAAAACGTTGAAATATAGTTCAAATTCAATAAAAATCGACAAAAATACAATTTCTAGCTAAAATTTGATGGTTTCGTTGCACTTTCCGAGCCCGTAGGGTATCTGAGTGGCTTAAAAGTACAAGAAAACACTTCAAAAGTGACGTTTCTGAAGAATTTTAACAGTTTTCTTGTATCTACTGTAGTGGCCTACTTTGTATTTAAATTTTGAAGAAAAGCGCGCCCAACCGGCGACGGCGACGAAGACGCTGTGTAAGCAAGGAGGTGGGGAGATTGGGGCGAGGGCGACGCGAAGAGCCGGTGGCAGGGGTAGGAAAGCTTAAATGTGAAGGTCGTTGAATGCCATTTGATAGTTTGTCTGATGAGCGCAGATGTCGCTTACGTCGAAATGTATTATTTTTACAGAGTCCTGTACAACTTAGCTGCCACAGTGTACTGTATAGCTGTCAACTAAAAATGGACCAGTGGCGTTGCATGAAAGATTAAGTTGTATTTAAAAATAATTGTTTAATAGTACAAAAATATGTATAATTGTACAATATGTCAGTTCTACTCCAATGCAATATGTAAAAATGTATAAAAATGTAAAAACTTTATTAAAATATTAATAAAAAGTATATAAAAAAAATACACAACGGTATTATCTATTTCTTAATATATGCCCACCAAATTTTTGTTTAAAATTGAAAAAAATTTGCAGCATTGCTCAACAGAAATTTATATATTTATATTCCTGCCATTTTGACATTTCAAAAATTCAGATTCTGAAATAGTTGTCTGTGAATAGTTGTCATGTATTAAGAATTTGTCACTGAATTACTAGATGGGCCCAGGCATAATTAACTATTCACCAGAGAAATGGAAACAACAAGAACTTTATTGAAGTTGCGGGAATAGGTTACACGTACAATAGTATAGGAGGTGCTCATGTAGTTGGAAATTCTTATATTTCTTCCACCATGTCTTTATAAATAATTCAGTAATAGATAGTTGTGCAGTAATAAAGTATTATTCCAAGTGTACAGCATCAGTTGTCCATTTACTGCAGACCCTAGGTTCTTAATCCAGACCAAAAAGTACCTTACATTGTCACATCAAGTGGCAGAACCTTTCTTGTTTGATGGCCCCAGCTGTGAGCATCCAATGAATCCGCTCCAGTTGTCATTTTTCTAACATAAATTAAACCTCAGGTAGAGCTCATGAAAGGAACTTGATAAGAACGCAGAATCTGTAGCATCTACGTTTCTTACAATATTATCAGTAAAATATTTTTCGGCTATTCATGTCCAGAAACGACAATGTATACTTGTTTACTTGTATACTTACATCAAAGTTTTTGCTGCAAATACAACGTCAGTAGCTTAAATTGACTAGAATTTGATTCCAAAGTGCTTTAGATAGTTGAAAGCTAATTAGCTTACCAACCTTATAGTTAAAAATCCACCACTTTTTTAAATTCAGTGGGCACATATTAAAAAATTGATAATATTTTTACTTTTTTAAACGTACGCCACTGTGTGTGGAGCGGTTATGTATAAAAAAGTAAACTGCGTATTTTATGCTGCGTTGTATTTGGTGGTTCTTTGTTCGATTTGTAGCGTTTTGAGTTTTGTGGTGTGTTTTTTTTTTTAGCCTTTTACGTACTTTTTAAGTGATTTTAGTGTTAGTGATTAGAATAAACAGACAATTAATTAATAATAATGTAAGTGTGACAATAAATTTCGTTTATTTGGTAAGAATTTTTGTAATGAAAGCGTTTCAAATTAAAAAATATTATTTTTTACACAGCACGATGACGAGCACATTAGCCAAAAATACTTGTTCTGTAAAAGGCTGCGGAAAGCGAGAGCTACCGATGTACCGTTTCCCCAATCCAAAAACAAACGGGGAACGTTTTCGTAAGTGGGTTCTGGCAGCAAATAATCCTCGATTCGAGCAACTAGGAGATAATGGTATTTATAAAAAGTGTTTCGTTTGCCACAACCATTTTAAGGAAGAGGATAAAATCCTGAATTCGCGTTTATTAAGGAAAACTGCTGTGCCTTCGCAAAATTTGCCGATTGGTAAAAATATCCTTTGAAGTGACATGTAAAATATTTATTACTTGAACTATACAGGTCCATCGTTTGCCACAGAACAGGGAATTGATGCACCATCACCTCCAAGACCATCCCAATCTGAGGAGGACCTAATTTTTAGAACACCACAACGTGAACTCATTTTTATGCCCAGCTCGGTACGAAAACGTGTTACACCATCAGCCTGTAAGTTTATTAATTTTACTACCTATGACCATTACAGTGAAATTGAAATATTGAAATGTACCTAGGTTCACCATCCACGTCTGCAGGTGTATTTCCCAGGAGCGTCGTGCAGAGAACATTATTTCCCTCCATAAGTAAGTATAGCAAAAGTATAATATTGCACACAAAGTAATGAAAAACAAGCATAATTCAACATGAAATAGGTATACAACGCTAGCAATACCAATTATAGTTAGGGTATTTAATGTCTTTAGATATTTTCAAATGTACATCCGTGCATAATGAATGTTCTACGAGCGGTGTGTTATTATAATATAAAATTCTGAAGAGTACACTTAAAATTCACTGATAAAAGTTTAGTATCCATAGCCTGTCATCAAATTTGAAGTCAAAGATGTAATTATAGTTCTTTATTTATAAACAATGTCACAGACGAAATTGTACAGAATTATTAGTTAATATATCTCGTACTTAATCAGCAACAATCATGATCTAGGTACACTGTGCCGTAAAACAGTTGTACGTGTTTGATTTAAAAAAAGAAATTTAGTATTGGATCTATAATATGAAATTTACTTATACTTTTTTTAAACATATGGGTGCTGTAATTAAAGTTGAAACATTTTGTAACACTATATTGTTTTAGGTAATGGAGTGAGCAGTAATGAAGAGGGACTTGGTGTGGCGCCATTATCAGTGTTGGACAGCGTCCCAATAACTGGTAAATTGATTTATTATTTGTTAAGATACAGACTAATATCACTATAGTATTTGAATTCTATCTTACGAATTTATAGCAATAACTTCAAGTAACCTGTAGTTACGACACACTTTACTCTGGATTAGAAAAAGGAGAGAATTTACGTTAGGTTAATTTAAGCAAGACTTTACCAGCTATGTAGACAGCAACAAACTTTTGCTAGGTTAACTTTCAAGAAACCCCTTTTTTTTTTAAATGAGACAGCAAATGAATGACGTTATGTTAAGCATGGGGAACACTTTACCAACAAATTTTTAAACACAAAGAATTTACGTGATATTGTTTTAAGTCACTTTTTGTTCGACAATTTAAACCAACAGAGAAATTATGTTATGTTAGCTTTAAGAACATTTCCCCAACAAATCAGAGCAAACAAATTATGTTAGGTTAAGTTTAAGAACACTTCATCAACAAATCAAAACAACAAAGAAGTTTCGTTCTATCAGAGTTGGCCACATTTTATCAACGAAGCTATTTGCATGGCGTCCACCCCCGTCTTTAGATTAAAGTAGAAAATTATTTATACTTAGTTGTATTCGTGGGAGAAACATGTGCTGTCGTTTCCCTTTTTTTAAATAATCACTTTTGAAATTTCAAACTAAAGTCGCCTACTCTGTCACAACTAACAACGTCACATCTCCACGCGTCGACGTCACTAAAAACCAAAATGGCGTTCACTAAACTCCACTCGCCTGACCTCTGGTGCTCGAAACATCGGGAACTTAAAGAAGCTAATACAGTGGCATCTGTTAGACCGCTAGACGCCTCTTATCCTAACCTCAGATCTTTACAACTGATTGCCTATACTTTGAAGCGTTTTTTTATTTATTTTAAATTTAAATTCCTTGATACTGTTTTTGACAGTGTCAATGGAGGGATCGGACATGTTTCTGGGAAAGTGCTGCGAGGAATGGTTACAAGAAATTCTCCTCATCAAAAGGTCTGGACAGAAGCGAAGCGAATGTTTTCCGAGATGGAATTTGTGAAGTCTAAGCCTGCAGATCGAGCACGGCCTCCAGTCTTAGATGGATGGTGTCGTACACTGAACTCGCCTAGGAAACTACCTTAGGCAGCATCCGTTTGCAACTGCAATTCACGCAAAAGTTGCTACAGGTTTCCCAAGCTCCATACGAACAGCACATAGATGACTAAAAGCAACTGAACTGAGAAATGGTTGTTCTGCTAATAAATGTTTAAAAGCTTCAGCATTTTTTACTTTTTTTTTTCATTTTATAGCGGTTTGAGTTTCTTTAATAATTTATTCAATTGCAATCTTTGCAATTAATTTGCACTCCACGACACTGACTTATATGACATTAAAAGACGTTTTAGAAACTTCAGATTTAAGAGAAATTTACAATGCTCAAGTTTTGTATTTGAAAAATTGTACGACTTTAAAATGGCCGCAACTGTACTATACTTTCCAGTGCTTCATTCCAATAATTCTTTTATATACATGTAACTGTAATAGTCATGTGTTATATACATATAATAAGAAAGGTCCACTTACTTTGTGATGTGCACATTTTATATTTTAATATATTCTTTACGCGTTAAAGTTGTTTTTGATTATTTCAACTAGTTGAATAGTTTTTGTAAATTATTGTCTCTTCTGTACAATGTTCTATTTTTATAATATAATACGATTTTTATTACATTATGTTTAAACAAATAGTGTACAGAAGGATACAATAATTTACAAATACTATGAAAAATAAATTATGATTTATTCTACAAGAATCATAGAAGTGTTTAAATGTCCCGCCTTTGACATTAGTTGGTCTGATGAGCTTAGATGGCGCCAACCAACAAGTCGGTAACATTGGAGATCAACTTCTATAAAGAGTATATTCTATGGCCGGTGACGACAGTTAGTTCTGGAACACCCAGCAGGCAAGAGGTTGTATTACAATTGTGTACAGAGCGCTTTCTGTGGTTTTCCATTGTTTCAGTTTTATAAATTGTGTTTTCACCCTGATTATCACCTGGACTTTTCCCCCTTGTCGTTGGAGCCGCCAACCACCGCTGCCGTCTTCCGTGGGGCTGAGAATCGCTTCTTCGCTCGCGGAGGGAGGAACGTTTGGGGCGGTAAGAACGCTGGGCGTTTGGTTGAATTGGACAGGTATGTGCTTATTTTAATTATCTCTCTTTGGATGCAAGCTGGTGCTCTTGAGTGCATGGTTCTTTAGTTGAACATTGTTGCGAGATTATTCTAACGCGAATCTCCGCTTCTCTATGTACCCGGTGCGAACCACCCAGAATGCCGTTTTGGCGTGGAAATCGCCGAGCCACGACCCGGGGCCCGTTGTAGAAGATCTCCAGACGTTCGTCGCAACGTAATCGTCGTTTTCTTAGTTTTGTTTTCAGTATCAGTAAATCGTTGTCGCAGGGCTTTTCAGGGAATTCATTAGTTAGGATGCAGTTAAAATTCATAAATTTTATATCTAAGGTTTTTGGATGGTTTTTCCCCAGTCGTCACTTCTTTTTTTAAATTTTCATGTTCGGACAATTTCAAATCAAAATTCAATCGTTAAGAGAGAGAGAGAGAGGGCGGGGGCGAGCGTGCAGATGGCCCACTCGAGATTATCAATGTTTAGGCTAGACGATTTTAATGGGCGCTAGTCTGAAAAATCTACGTTCCCATATCATTTTTGTGTCAGTCAGCAGAGAAATGTCGGTTGACCTCAATAATTATTACTCAAAGTAGTAACGGAAAGCTGGACCACTGTTTTATGTTATGACTTATGTGTTACCCTGTGAATTCGATATTTACCATTTTGAAAAGCACACATTCAAAGCGCAATGTGTACCAAACGTTATATTTTATTGTGTTGGTTTGACATGTTTGTATGTATGTTTGTATGTATTTTTGTCGACATTATTTTATGTGCAGTTTTCCGTTGCATTCACATTTTAACGAATTAATTCTCGATTGGGTAAAAGTCCTTGACAAATGTGGCGTACTTAAACTTTGTTGCAATATCCACAATTTTAGTTTTGGGTTTGATAGTTCAAGTTTCCAAATTATTAAAACTTAAATTTGTCTAATCAAAAAAATGTTCGGGGTTGTTTGGCACGAGCGGGGAGCGGCCCAAATTCAAATTGATGATTTTTCGTTCATTCGTATGACTGTTTATTCGCAATACCAAATGCCGCCAACACGGGATATGCGGAGGGTGTCTTGCTGGTAAAGGAAACTTTAGTGGTGGGAGTCAGTGTCGTGTGTCCCGCGGTGGATGGAGTAAAGTTACGAGATAATACTTGCCGCCGCTGCCTCGAGCGCCGGCGAACACAGGATGGAGATAGCGTGACGTTTGGGGTGGCACAGTGACTTGGTTGTACGTAGCTGGTTAGAGCGAAAAGACAGTCAAAAGACAAGGCCAAGAACCGCTAGCGCTACACACCCCCTGTTTCTAAATTTATTGAATTAAATTATGTTTTTTTGTTATCTGCTGACTGAAAAGAAATAATTTCTAACACGCCACAATGACAGCTGTGGCAATGCCATCCAATTACTTTAGCTAGAGCTTTCGCGAACTTGTTTTTTTTTATTGTATGTCACGGCTAGGATGTTGAAAATATTATAACAAAAATTATAATTGTTTTCATAAAAGATGGAGAGGTTTTTGCAGCTGGGAAAATATGCTCATCAAGTTTATTTCACAGCTTTTGTCCTCTCTCTTAAGAGGAACCAATTTTCAGCCAATTGTTTTGTTATATGTGTAAACTTAAATATTCTAGCCCAGTTCAAATCTCTTTTTACCAAAATTTAATAAAAAAATGTTCCTTTTCAGCGCTGACTTTGACTTCCTACACTCTTCCCGCTCCGCATTGCGCTAATTTGTATCCGAACACATTCCGCCATTTATACACAACGTAAGGGTTCCCATTTTGTTGACGATCACAGTTCATGGCCACTTTTCGAATTTTTCGCGGGTTTTCAAATTTTGTGCGCATGTCTTCGATTTTGGCGGAATGTTTGGGTTATTACACTACGAACGCCAGAATGCATAAAATTGACCTAAACGTCTCCTTTTCCTATTCTGAGTCGATTCTGCATGCTTTAAGTGTGTTTGGTGGCTCAGAACCATCAAAAAACGTTGAAATATAGTTCAAATTCAATAAAAATCGACAAAAATTCAGTTTCTAGCTAAAATTTGATGGTTTCGTTGCACTTTCCGAGCCCGTTGGGTATCTGAGTGGCTTAAAAGTACAAGAAAACACTTCAAAAGTGACGTTTCTGAAGAATTTTAACAGTTTTCTTGTATCTACGAACGCCAGAATGCATAAAATTGACCTAAACGTCTCCTTTTCCTATTCTGAGTCGATTCTGCATGCTTTAAGTGTGTTTGGTGGCTCAGAACCATCAAAAAACATTGAAATATAGTTCAAATTCAATAAAAATCGACAAAAATACAGTTTCTAGCTAAAATTTGATGGTTTCGTTGCACTTTCCGAGCCCGTAGGGTATCTGAGTGGCTTAAAAGTGCAAGAAAACACTTAAAAGTGACGTTTCTGAAGAATTTTAACAGTTTTCTTGTATCTACGAACGCCAGAATGCATAAAATTGACCTAAACGTCTCCTTTTCCTATTCTGAGTCGATTCTGCATGCTTTAAGTGTGTTTGGTGGCTCAGAACCATCAAAAAACGTTGAAATATAGTTCAAATTCAATAAAAATCGACAAAAATACAGTTTCTAGCTAAAATTTGATGGTCTCGTTGCACTTTCCGAGCCCGTAGGGTATCTGAGTGGCTTAAAAGTACAAGAAAACACTTCAAAAGTGACGTTTCTGAAGAATTTTAACAGTTTTCTTGTATCTACGAACGCCAGAATGCATAAAATTGACCTAAACGTCTCCTTTTCCTATTCTGAGTCGATTCTGCATGCTTTAAGTGTGTTTGGTGGCTCAGAACCATCAAAAAACGTCGAAATATAGTTCAAATTCAATAAAAATCGACAAAAATACAGTTTCTAGCTAAAATTTGATGGTTTCGTTGCACTTTCCGAGCCTGTAGGGTATCTGAGTGGCTTAAAAGTACAAGAAAACACTTCAAAAGTGACGTTTCTGAAGAATTTTAACAGTTTTCTTGTATCTACGAACGCCAGAATGCATAAAATTGACCTAAACGTCTCCTTTTCCTATTCTGAGTCGATTCTGCATGCTTTAAGTGTGTTTGGTGGCTCAGAACCATCAAAAAACGTTGAAATATAGTTCAAATTCAATAAAAATCGACAAAAATACAGTTTCTAGCTAAAATTTGATGGTTTCGTTGCACTTTCCGAGCCCGTAGGGTATCTGAGTGGCTTAAAAGTACAAGAAAACACTTCAAAAGTGACGTTTCTGAAGAATTTTAACAGTTTTCTTGTATCTACGAACGCCAGAATGCATAAAATTGACCTAAACGTCTCCTTTTCCTATTCTGAGTCGATTCTGCATGCTTTAAGTGTGTTTGGTGGCTCAGAACCATCAAAAAACGTTGAAATATAGTTCAAATTCAATAAAAATCGACAAAAATACAGTTTCTAGCTAAAATTTGATGGTTTCGTTGCACTTTCCGAGCCTGTAGGGTCTCTGAGTGGCTTAAAAGTACAAGAAAACACTTCAAAAGTGACGTTTCTGAAGAATTTTAACAGTTTTCTTGTATCTACGAACGCCAGAATGCATAAAATTGACCTAAACGTCTCCTTTTCCTATTCTGAGTCGATTCTGCATGCTTTAAGTGTGTTTGGTGGCTCAGAACCATCAAAAAACGTTGAAATATAGTTCAAATTCAATAAAAATCGACAAAAATACAGTTTCTAGCTAAAATTTGATGGTTTCGTTGCACTTTCCGAGCCTGTAGGGTATCTGAGTGGCTTAAAAGTACAAGAAAACACTTCAAAAGTGACGTTTCTGAAGAATTTTAACAGTTTTCTTGTATCTACGAACGCCAGAATGCATAAAATTGACCTAAACGTCTCCTTTTCCTATTCTGAGTCGATTCTGCATGCTTTAAGTGTGTTTGGTGGCTCAGAACCATAAAAAAACGTTGAAATATAGTTCAAATTCGATAAAAATCGACAAAAATACAGTTTCTAGCTAAAATTTGATGGTTTCGTTGCACTTTCCGAGCCCGTAGGTTATCTGAGTGGCTTAAAAGTACAAGAAAACACTTCAAAAGTGACGTTTCTGAAGAATTTTAACAGTTTTCTTGTATCTACGAACGCCAGAATGCATAAAATTGACCTAAACGTCTCCTTTTCCTATTCTGAGTCGATTCTGCATGCTTTAAGTGTGTTTGGTGGCTCAGAACCATCAAAAAACGTTGAAAAATAGTTCAAATTCAATAAAAATCGACAAAAATACAGTTTCTAGCTAAAATTTGATGGTTTCGTTGCACTTTCCGAGCCTGTAGGGTCTCTGAGTGGCTTAAAAGTACAAGAAAACACTTCAAAAGTGACGTTTCTGAAGAATTTTAACAGTTTTCTTGTATCTACGAACGCCAGAATGCATAAAATTGACCTAAACGTCTCCTTTTCCTATTCTGAGTCGATTCTGCATGCTTTAAGTGTGTTTGGTGGCTCAGAACCATCAAAAAACGTTGAAATATAGTTCAAATTCAATAAAAATCGACAAAAATACAGTTTCTAGCTAAAATTTGATGGTTTCGTTGCACTTTCCGAGCCTGTAGGGTATCTGAGTGGCTTAAAAGTACAAGAAAACACTTCAAAAGTGACGTTTCTGAAGAATTTTAACAGTTTTCTTGTATCTACGAACGCCAGAATGCATAAAATTGACCTAAACGTCTCCTTTTCCTATTCTGAGTCGATTCTGCATGCTTTAAGTGTGTTTGGTGGCTCAGAACCATCAAAAAACGTTGAAATATAGTTCAAATTCAATAAAAATCGACAAAAATACAGTTTCTAGCTAAAATTTGATGGTTTCGTTGCACTTTCCGAGTCTGTAGGGTCTCTGAGTGGCTTAAAAGTACAAGAAAACACTTCAAAAGTGACGTTTCTGAAGAATTTTAACAGTTTTCTTGTATCTACGAACGCCAGAATGCATAAAATTGACCTAAACGTCTCCTTTTCCTATTCTGAGTCGATTCTGCATGTTTTAAGTGTGTTTGGTGGCTCAGAACCATCAAAAAACGTTGAAATATAGTTCAAATTCAATAAAAATCGACAAAAATACAGTTTCTAGCTAAAATTTGATGGTTTCGTTGCACTTTCCGAGCCCGTAGGGTATCTGAGTGGCTTAAAAGTACAAGAAAACACTTCAAAAGTGACGTTTCTGAAGAATTTTAACAGTTTTCTTGTATCTACGAACGCCAGAATGCATAAAATTGACCTAAACGTCTCCTTTTCCTATTCTGAGTCGATTCTGCATGCTTTAAGTGTGTTTGGTGGCTCAGAACCATCAAAAAACGTTGAAATATAGTTCAAATTCAATAAAAATCGACAAAAATACAGTTTCTAGCTAAAATTTGATGGTTTCGTTGCACTTTCCGAGCCCGTAGGGTATCTGAGTGGCTTAAAAGTACAAGAAAACACTTCAAAAGTGACGTTTCTGAAGAATTTTAACAGTTTTCTTGTATCTACGAACGCCAGAATGCATAAAATTGACCTAAACGTC